TTTCGCTATTAAATTCCCTCAGGACAATTAAATATCCGATGGTTTTCCAATCGTTGCGGTCAACGGCAAAGGGGATGGTGGGGACAGTGCAGGGTTGAACAAAAGGTCTTGAGATGCCTTCAAACCCCCCCACGGAGCAGGAAAAAGGACCCTCAAAGTCCTTGGAATGCTGGTGGAAAGAGGAAGGACCTGCTCATGTCAAGGTTGGGAATTTGAAGCTAAAAATGGGGAGATTCAGTTGGATATTGGGAAAGGAATTTGGTTACGGTGACGGTTGGTGAGGGCCTGGAATGGCATTCCTGGAAAAGCTGTGGCTGCCCCATCCCTGGAAGTGTCCAAGTGCAGGTTGGAGCAACCTGGGATGGGGGAAGGTGTCACCACCCATATCCATATGAGTTTTAAGGTCCCTTCCCACCCAAACCGTTCCATGGTTCCGTGAAATTCAATGGTTCAATGGTGTTAAATTGGGAATCATCATTCCCAGGCTTCTCCCATCAGGAAGGAATTTTTCCCTGTGAGGGTGGTGAGACCCTGGAATGGAATTCCCAGAGAAGCTGTGGCTGCTCCAAGGGGATGGGGCATCTCTAATTAAGATGATTTTCCCTTAATTAATGATTCCCCCTCCTTTTTTAAATACCTCAACATCTCCATCCTTGGAATTTCTCCCATCTCTGCATTCCCAGCCCTGGATTTTTTCCCATCCCAGCTCTCACAGGAGCTGGATCAGCTCCCAGATTTCTGCTCAGCCCTTTATGGATTTATTTCATTGCTCAGGGATCGATCTGACGCCTGTTCCCGAGAGTCAACAGCCGGGAAACTGCTGAGCAAAGCAGGGACAAAACTCTCCATCATCATCAACATCCAGAGGTTTTTCCTGTTGGATCAGCCTTTGGAGATGCTTTTCCTGACAAAAAAAAACCTCCTCGTGTTGATCTTTTGGAGGAACCGGCCACAATTTGTGGGATAATGGAGTTTTTTTTGAATTTTCATGGTAACAAGGTCATTAAAGTTTTGTAGGATCATGGAAACATCAAGTGGGTTGGGTTGGGTTGGGGTGGGAAGGGCTTTTGGAGGTCATCAAGCCTGACCTTCCACTGGATCAGGTTTCTCCAATCCCACTCCAGCCTGGGTTTAAACCGGGTTTTAAGGAGCTGGAATTTGTATCACTGAAGTCAATTTGGCCTCAGAGCCACCTGGGACTTGACCCCTCCCTCGATGTCACCTCGGTGTCACCTCGGTGTCGCTCCTGGCTCCGGGATTAACTCCATGGGCCGACCTGGCTTAGGATGAGTTTAAATTTCCCAGCATTCCACACCTAAAATAATTTGGAATTTATTGATTGCTGCAGCCGGAAAAACAGCTGAGCAGGCGTTTCTTGGGATCAGAGAGAACTGGGATCAGATTTTCACATGGATTCCTAGGATATTGGTCAGAAAGGAGCAGCTCCAAGCAAAGACCTGGAGGGAAGAATTTGGAGGAGTTGTTTTAAATTCCTGAACTGTCCAAAAAGATGGAAATTAAGTTCAAGCTGGATCAGCTTTATCCAGAGTTGAGGCTTCAGGTTTTCAGAGGAACAGGGATGAGGGGGAAGGGTTTGGAATTAAAAATGGGGAGGTTTAGATGGGAATTTGGGAAGGAATTCTTCCCTGGGAGGGTGGTGAGGTGCTGGAATGGAATTCCCAGAGAAGCTGTGGCTGCCCCATCCCTGGAATTGTCCAAGGCCAGGTTGGATGGGGCTTGGAGCAACCTGGGATAGTGGGAAGGTGTCCCTACCCATGGAATTCCACAACCTTTAGTCCCCTTCCAAACTATTCCATGACTCCATGATCCTCCCAACCATCCCATAATATTTCTGCTGACATCTTCTCTTTGCCTCGGCCGCCCTTGAACCTTCTCCCGACATTGCCCAGGGAGTCACATCCCTTCTCCGTCAAAGCAGCGCCGCGTGAACGCCCGGATCCGATGGCTCCAGCCTCCCAGAGCTGGGTTTTTTCCTCTTTTTATTTAATTAGAAAGGAATGAGCAGTGGCCGGGGCTGATCAACGACGGATTTGCGTTGATGGAGGAGTTGGCTTTTCCCTGAGGTGGCTTTAGGGTCAGCGCTTTTCCGTCACTGGAATTGTCGCTGATTCAGGACGGAGCAGAGGGCTCAGCCTTCTCCCACTGTCCTGGAATAGCATTTTTTCCAGCAGGGAATGCAGAATTGCAGGATTCTTTGCCGGATTCTTCCGGACTGCACAGCTCCCGGTGTTTGTGTGGTTAACGGATCGAGGCCAGGAGCTGCTGGAGCATCCGCCTGGGTCCTGAGCTCTGATTTTGCCGGATGTTCCGTCCTGTCCTCAGGAACTGATAAAAAATGGGATTTCACCTGGCTGTGTGTGGCCACATCCCAGAAATTCCCAGTGGAGAGCAGGAAAGGAGGGAATTCTTCCCCTCTGCCCTGCTCAGGTGAGACTCCACCTGGAATCTTCTTCCAACTCCAGGATCCCACTGGTGCCGCTGGCCACCTTGGCCGGTTCTTTGGCCAATCCCGGTTCTCCAAATCTGGAAGTGGTTTCCAGCGGCCGTTCCATGCCAGATCGGATCTGAGTTTTACGGAATGAGACGAGCCATGATTTAGGATCGACTCCCCTCCCACTGCTTTTAGTCTCTCTTCTACATGGAAAAGCTTAATCGTGGATTTTCTTCTCTTTTCCAAGAGGAGTTGAACACTTTTTCACCCTTTAGGGAGGTTTGATCCAAGCTGGGAGCCCACACCCTGAAAATCCCACTCTTTTTTCCATCCAGAGGTTTAAATCCCATTGGAAAATGAGCTGAGGGCTCGGGGCCAGGCTGACACCTGGGACCCCCCTCCAGGGACTTCTTTTCTTTCAAATTGGGCATTTCTGAAGAGCCTCCAGGGATTCATTCCCAGGGAAAGGCGTCGGGATGCGATCCATGTGATCCATTATTGTCTAACTCCCTGGATGTGTCAGCTTTAAGTGGCACCTTCCTTGATAAGCCTCACTTAGCTTTTTATTCCTCCTCATCTATTTCTAGACGTTCCTTAAAAGCCTTGGAAAAGCAGGCGGGGATAAATCCCAAATAATTTCATTAAATTCCTTCCATTTTTTATTTTTATTTTTTTTACATAAACCCACGCAAAAAAAGAGGAATTTGAATAAAGACGCGGATCCCGGAACATCTCAGGTACCCTCTGGATTATCCAGAGGTGACAAGTGCAGTGTTTGGGGTGGAATTCTCTGTTTCTTAGGATTGCGACTTCTTTTAATCCTCTTTGGAATTTCTAAGCTCCCGTTTGCTGCTGGATGATCCCAAAAATCCCTTTTGTTGTGTTTCTGAGTGAGGGGGTCAGGGAAATTCCAGGAGAACGCAGATGGGGGAACAGGATGGAGAGCAGCCCTGGGGAGGGGGAATTTGGGGAATTTTGGGGGTGTTGGTGGGTGAGGATCTCCACAGGATGCATCCATGTGCTCTGGACCAGGAAATTCCCCATGTTCTGGGCACATCCCACAGTGTGGACAGCAGGAAAAGGGGAATTCTGCCCCTCTGCCCCGCTCAGGTGAGATCTCACCTGGAATATTACATCCAACAGCAGAAGGACCTGGAGCTGCTGGAGCAGATCCAGAGGAGGTCACGGAGAAGCTCCAAGGGCTGGAGCCAGGCTGGGAGAGCTGGGAATGTCCAGCCCAGAGAAGCCAAGGATCCAGGGAGACCTCAGAGCCCCTTCCAGTGCCTGAAGGGGCTCCAGGAGAGCCGGAGAGGGACTTGGGACAAGGGATGGAGGGACAGGACACAGGGAATGGCTTCCCACTGCCAGAGGGCAGGGATAGATGGGATACTGGGAAGGAATTCTTCCCTGTGAGAGTGGAGAGGTGCTGGGATGGAATTCCCAGAGGAGCTGTGGCTGCCTCTGGATCCCTGGAATTATCCAAGACCAGGTTGGACGGGGCTTGGAGCAGCCTGGGATGGGGGGAGGTGTCCCATCCCATGGGACCATCCCATCCCATCCCATTCCCATCCCATTCCCATTCCCATTCCCATTCCCATTCCCATTCCCATTCCCATTCCCATTCCCATTCCCATTCCCATTCCATCCCTTCCCATGGAGACCAGGACACGGTTGGGCCCGTTCAGCCCTCACCATCTCCATCCCCGCCACCATCAGGTTTCGGTGTTGGTGCTGCCCGTGGTCGTCACCCAGCCCGGGTGTGTTGGGACCGGTGGTTTTGGGATGGTACCGGAGCTGGAACCCACAGAGCCAACGCCTTTTCCCAGTGTCGGGACAGAGGGAAGAGGGTTTGGGATTTTTGGAGTTCTGGGGAGCTGCGCTGCTCCAGCTGGACCTGGGGAGGTGGAGTCCATCATTTTGGAGTTTTTCTGGGAAGTGCTGCCGGGTTTGGTGATGTGGGTGGCAGTGCCGGGCTGCAGGGGGGTCGTGCAGAAGTTCATCTCCAGGTTGGTGATTCCAACCAGTCCTTCCCACTCCTTCATGGAATGTGCTTTGATCCACGGGTCTTCAAGGGTTAGGGCTGGACGCCATGATCCCAGGTGGACATTGGGGTGCTCCGACACAGGGCGTGTGTTTTGCAGACTTGCTGGGTTTCCCTGGGAGCTGAAAATCTGGGATTGGTTGGAAACCCTTTGGAAGATTCTCTGTTTTGTGTCAATAATTCTGTGCGGCTCGATGGGGTAGAAGAAAGAGTTGTGAAGTCTTCATCCCATGCTCGCTGCGAGTGTTGATCACAGAACCATTGGATGGTTGGGGTTGGGAGGGACCTTGGTTGAATTTTCCCTCTCTCCGTGTTCTTTTCCAGGCTGGAATGGGTGGGAATCATCAAATCTTGGGAACGGGAGACTCAATGGGGGTGGAAGGAAGAGTTGAGAAGTCACTCTTCTCTGTCCCGTGCTCACATCAAATCACAGAATCATCGGGTGGCTTGGGCAACCTTCCAAGATGGCTCGATTGACGTTTCCCTTCTCTCCTTGTCCTTTCCCAGGCTGGAATGGGTGGAAATCATCGAGCCTCGGACCCGGGAGCGCATGTACGCCAACCTGATCACGGGGGAGTGCGTGTGGGACCCCCCCGCCGGCGTGCGGATCAAACGCACCAATGAGAACCAGTGGTGGGAGCTCTTCGACCCCAACACCTCCCGCTTCTACTACTACAATGCCACCACGCAGAGGACGGTGTGGCACCGTCCCCAGAACTGTGACATCATCCCGCTGGCCAAGCTGCAGACGCTGAAGCAGAACACGGAGTCGCCGCGGGCTTCCACGGAAAACAGCCCCGGCAGGAGCAGCAATGTCAGCAGGGAGGGAAGCACCAGCTCATCCTTGGAGCAGGAGCTGGAAGGCAACGAGAAGGTGCAGGAGCAGCGGTCGAGCCGCCAGTCCAGCCAGTATTCCGTGGTGAAGGAGGAAACGGAAAGGTAAAGGTGGGATGGGTGGGGGGGAAAAATCGGGAATTCCCAGTCCTGGTGGTCTCCAAGAGCAACCGGCATGCTGCGGATCTTGGGCAAAGATATTTTGTGGATGGTTCCTCCAGCTCGACCCTTGGTGGGTCTCCACTAAGTTGGATTCTCCAAAAAACAAGGAGGAAGAGGGAAAAACGTCAGGAAAAGGTGTTTCTCCACCTTAGGGACAATTTAGATGTTCCCTGCAGGAAGTTTCCTTAAAGGAATAATTTCTCGTCCTCTGAAATTCGTTTTTAGGATTGGAAATTCGGGTTTAAAGCCCGACGTGGTTTTAAATGATTTCCCTGGATAAAATCTCCCTGGGCTGATGAGTCGGGATGATTCATGCCACAACCACGGCTTGTCCCACAGGTCTGGGGAGCTCCTGGCAGGGATAATTTCCCTCGGGAAGGAGAAGGGAGTCAGTGCTCAGTTCCCAAGGACAACATTCGGAGACGTTTGTGTCGCTCCTCTCCAGTCATTCCATCTTTTATGGCTTGAAAGCTGCAAATCACAGAATCTTGGAATGGTTTGGCTTGGAAAGGAGCCTTAAAAATCCATCTTTTTCCACCTCCTGCCTTGGGCAGGGACACCTCCCACCATCCCAGCCTGACTTGGGACAATTCCAGGCATGGAGCAGCCACAGCTTTTCTGGGTGACCTGAGGTCGGTCATTAATTAATACATTTGTCTTCTCTTAATTGATGCTTTTGACCGCGTTAAGGACCCGACCAGATTGAGGAGACCAAGCAGGGGCGGAATTCCCGTTCCCAACTCCTGCTCCCAGAAACTGCGGCTGGATGGGAACAGGAATTCCCGGCTCAGCAAGTGCTTTCATGTGGGACATCAGAGGCGGCCTCGGCTCCGCACCTCGGGGGAGGTTCCACCTTCCCAAGGTCCTGGAAGAGGCTCTGATGGAATCTCTGAGCCTGGGAATGGGGGCTTCTCGTGGGGCAGGGGGATTTGGGGAAGGGAAATGGGTTTGGGGTTGTTCACTGCAGGTGGATGTGGAATCAGCCATGGAATTACAGAGTCACGGAATCATGGAATGGTTTTGGTTGGAAAAGGCCTTAAAAATCATCATCAGAAATTCCATCCTTTCCCATGGGCAGGGACACCTTCCCCCATCCCAGACTGCTCCAAGCCCTGTCCAACCTGGCCTGGGACATTTCCAGGGATGGGGCAATCACAGATTCTCTGGGAATTCCGTTCCAGCCCCTCAAAGGGAAGAATTCCTTCCCAATATCCCATCTATCCCCACCCTCTGGCAGTGGGAAGCCATTCCCTGTGTCCTGTCCCTCCATCCCTTATCCCAAGTCCCTCCCCAGCTCTCCTGGAGCCCCTTCAGGCACTGGAAGGGGCTCTGAGGTTTCCCTGGATCCTTCCCTTCTCCAGGCTGGACATTCCCAGCTCTCCCAGCCTTATCCAGAGCAAAGGGGCTCCAGGCCCTTGGAGCATCTCCATGGCCTCCTCTGGAATTGCTCCATCAGCTCCAGATCCTTCTGCCATTGGATCCTGGAGCTGGATGCAGAATTCCAGGTTGGGCCTCACCTGAGCGGGGCAGAGGGGCAGAATTCCCCCTTTCCTGGTGGGAAATGATCCCAGGAGATGCTGATGGAGCAGGATCCCATTCCCAAATGGGTTAACAAGGATCAGGGAGATGGATTTTAAATTCCCTGGGATTTGCTGCAAGAGCAGGGGTGGCATCAGCAGCTCCCTGGGGAAAGGATCGTTCCCAAAGTGAGATCAGGAGTTTCCTGGAAAAAAGATCATTCCTGAGGTGGGATCAGGAGTTTCCTGGAAAAAAAGATCATTCCCAAAGTGAGATCAGGAGTTTCCTGGGGAAAGGATCATTCCTGAGGTGGGATCAGGAGTTTCCTGGGGAAAGGATCATTCCTGAGGTGGGATCAGGAGTTTCCTGGGGAAAGGATCATTCCCGAGGTGGGATCAGGAGTTTCCTGGAAAAAAAGATCATTCCCAAGGTGTGATCAGCAGCTCTCTGGGGGGATTCCCACATCAGACCCAGCACAGACATTCCAGGTCACCAATCCTTGGTGTCCTCCCCCCACACGTTCCCGTTCCCATTATGGGATGCAAATCTTCTGGATCAGGTAGGAGGAGGACTGGACTCTCAAATAAAAAGGTTTAATCCCTGGAAGTATCTTGGAAGAGAAAAGGAATTTAGCCCTGGGCTGGCTTTGGCTGGTGGGAGGTTGTGTGTCCTCAAATCTCCAGGAATTCCAGGTCTTGGCCTTTCCAGAGATTGGGATTGAGCAGATCCCGGGTTTTGGAGCATTAAAAATTTAATAAAAATTTTTACAAGTTTGGATGCCACTAGAGGGAGCAGAAATTCCTGCTGACTGGAATTTCCACCTGCATCCCTGGAAGTGACAGGGATGAGTCCTGTTGGCTCGGCACAACCATGGCTTGATCCTCATATCCTGGCTGGAAAAAAAACAACTCCATTCCCACATTTTCCCCATCCCAGGAAGCATCCAAGGCCAGGTTGGACAGGGTTTGGAGCAACCTGGGATAGCAGAAGGGTTTCCCTGTGGAATTCCATTATCTTGAAGGTCCCTTCCAACCCCAACCATTCCATGATTCCATGAGTGCCTTCCCAGATCTCGGTTGCGTTTCTCACAGAAGAAGCTGGGAAGCAGCTCCAGAGGTTTTCTGGTGGAACCTCCCAGGTTTTATCCCATGAAATCTTATTTAAATATTTCTGGATAAGCTCAGCTTATCTGGTTGGAAAAGGGAATTCGGGAGAAGCGGGACGGTTTTTATTGGAATTCACACCCGGAACTTCCCTTAAAATTTAGGAACCAGCGCATCTCCAGGTTTGGCTGGAGATGCTGGAGGCTGCTCCCAATCCATTCCTCACATCCATGTTCCATCCCACCTGTCAGCCCTTGGAATCCACAGGGAATTTGACATTGCCAAGCACCTGGATCCCATCGGAATCACCTCACGCTTCTATGGTGAGGTGGGATTTATTTTAATTAGCAGCCGGATCCAGCTCGGGAATCAACCCTGGGATCTCAACAGCAGCCTTGTCTCGGTGGTCAGCAGAGCATTCCCAGTGGGATTTTCCAGCGTTTTCCTGGAGTTTTCCACACTTGTCTTAAAATGGTGGCTTTTCTCCGGAGCGTGACTTGACAGCCGTGAAATCTCGGAGCGGGAACGTCGGCTGGATTTTGTGTCAGGTCGCTGGGATTTTCCACGCCGTCGGGAAACGTCTGAGGTTATTGGCTTGAAATCCTTGGGGAAGGCGTCAGGCAGGGAAAAAGAAGACTTTTCCATGGAAAACTCAGCTCTGCCACTGCTTCTCCAAGGAGGAATTCCAAGTGGAAGCTTGAAGGACAAGGAAGCGGATTTTTGGCCATCAGGCGTGTTTTCCTTGGATCAAAATGCAGGAATCTTGGAATGTGAGGGGTCTTCACCCAGATCCCATCTGCTGGGAAACTGTGCCCAAGTTATTCCTCAGAATTCCCACTTTTTTTTTTTTTTGCGTGTCCCAGTTCCAAAATCTTCTCGGATTTAGTGTGGCTGGACTGGAATATCCAAGGGGGATTCTCTCAAAATCCAGTCCCTGGAATGCGCCTTCTGGAGCTCTCCGGGATCAAAAACACCCCCCTTACAACCAGCAGCCATTTTCTGACTCCAAAAGATCCCAAAAAAAGCAGGTTTGTGGAATAAGAGATGCCTCAAAGCTCTAAAATACCCAATTTGAGTGTCCCACGATTTTTCCTTGGAATTCTCTCCATTTATTTCCTTTCTTGGGAGGCTCTGGGAAGAGCCTGCCGTGCCTGGGTTTGGAAAACAGGTGGATCAATGACATAAATCTCCGCAGCATCTGCTGCCCGAGGGTTTTCCAGGTCCCGGCAGGGATTCCCAGCCTTCCTCCAAGACGAGAAGGAAGAGAAACCAGGGACTTGGAGTCGCTCCGGAAGGCGGCGCGGAAGAACCATGGCACGGAGAGGATCCTCAAGGATCCTTCCTTCCCCATGTCCTGCCTCCAGCAGGAGCTTAAGGCTTGGAATTCCCGGCCTTTCGTCACCCAAATGTTGGATTTTCCCAGCTGGACTGCTCTGAGGAGCCAAGAGGAATTTGGGAGAGCTGGGAATGTTCACCTGGAGAAGAGAAGGATCCAAGGAAACCTTGGAGCTCCTTCCAGTGGCTGAAGGGGCTCCAGGAGAGCTGGAGAGGGACTTGGGAGAAGGGATGGAGGGGCAGGACACAGGGAATGGCTTCCCACTGCCAGAGGGCTGGGATAGATGGGAATTTGGGAAGGAATTCCTCCCTGGGCGGGTGGTGAGGCCTGAAATGGAATTCCCAGAGGAGCTGTGGCTGCCCCATCCCTGGAATTGTCCAAGGGCCAGTTGGAGCAATCTGGGAGAGGGATTTTCCCTTCCAACCCAAACCATGGGTTTGAGCATTTGATGAAGTTTTTCCATGAAATTTCCATGGAATTTCCGTGATTTGGTGAAGTTTTTGCTCCCATACTGGAGTCCCTTAACGACAAAGAGGATGGTCTGGAATTTCTCCATCTTTCCAGTCTCCAGCACTGTGGGAACTTCATCCCATTCCCAGACCACGACATTCCACTGGAAATCCTTCTCTTCCCGATGTTTTATCCATGGGGTGGATGGGCAGAGCAGGAGGTCGGGACACGGATGTCCCCCCGCTTCCGGTGGCGCGGAAAACCACCACGGGCTCTTCCTGCCCTCGGAGCAGGCTCCGAGGAATCCCAATCCCTGAATCCAGCTCTGGAAGGGAATATTCCTTCCAGAATGTTGGAGGGAATTCTTGGAATTCTTGAAATTCAGATTTATTTTTTTTTTTCTCCCTTTTATTTGCTGCCTGTGGCAACAAATCCCCGCTTTTTCCAATTCCATCCCCCTGGGACGACTTCCCCTATCCCGGGTTGCTCCAAGCTCCATCCAACCTGGCCTTGGACATTTCCAGGCAGCCACAGTT